AATCGAGTAAAAAAGCTTATATGCAACAGGAAAGAAGTACATCTGTAAAGCCAAGACAAGTAAGCATGCTGTAAGTCCACAAATTAGTGAATGACTAAACTTCTGTATGTGAATATTTGAGAAGTTGATTCCCTGAACTATGGGATGGAGAACAACTCGAGGTGCTTTCTGAGGGAGTCATAGCAAGTGAAAAATCGAAGCATTGAATAATTCGGACTTGTGCTGATTCATTTGTATGCAAAATCCTTGTATTGGTCCCAACTCTGACATTTGCAGCGTTAGTCAGTGTGGTAGTGCCAAAACATTAACTGAGATACCTCAGTGCCCTTTTGAAACTAGTTACTGGTRAAGAGCTTTGGTGTGTTAACAGCAATGGCTTTGTATCTACTGAAACTTTACATTTTACTTGCAGAAATCTCCATTAAACAACCCAAAATGGATCTGAAACCCCTGTTCTTTAAAACCACCTGCATGTGTAGAACCCACGGGCTGAATCTTATAGGTAATTTAGCATCATCTGGAATCATTATTCCAAAAATTGACAAAGCCATTTAGGCTACCCCAGCACTCGTCTTGCACAAAACCAACTGCAGCATCGTTCGCAAGGCAAGGGAGAAAAGAACTGTTGTGCAAACCCAAGRGGAGCCAGGCATTTGCCTTGGAGCCCCAGCAAAAAGGATTTGAGTAAACCAGAGCTGTTTTACAGAGCAAACGCTGCAGGCAGATCACCGCTTTCAAAATCTGTGAATTTGGGGGCAATTACTGGGCAGTGCTGGGCAACTAAAGGAAAAGAAAACAAACCAAGAAGAGGATTAAACAAATAAGAACATTAAGATTCAGTGTCTCTGAAAACAATGGACAAACAGCTGGGGGGGGTTCAATTCAGTCACAATATAATTCAATTCTGGGGCTCTATGAGATGCATTTCCAGTTATTCCATTTAGTGGAAAGAACCTTCCTGCCCTATTTGTAATTATTTGGTTATATATTTCATTACTTGCAGATACTTGTGAATACTCCTGTGTTTTCTTCAGGTTTTGTGCAAAGGAGAGCTGCAGTTGGGAAGCAGCACAGCAGTAAGCGGGAGAAACGAGCTGCTGGCGCCGCTGCGACTAAGGATGAAACATCACAGGCTTTCCTGGAGATCTGCCGACACAAGTATTTTTTAAAAACGATGTTTCTCAGAGAAAACAGCACCTTCCTGGGGCTGATCCATCATTAGAATTAACTCGCCGGTTGCAGAGCTCCGTGCTGGATGGTGCGACTGAGATTTGTTAGCTTTATTTAGTCTTTAATATTATTGTTTTTAGACTCTGCGAGCAGTTTTCACACACGGTGCCTGTAGGGATGCCTCTTTCTCCCGATCCTGGGCTGCCCCACACAGACCTGCGTGCAGCTGCAGCTGCGGCCTCGCACATTCCTGCGTCCAGGATCAGGCTCCCACAGAGCGAGCAGGCAGAACCACAGAAGCGTCCTGCACCCGGTAGCTCCCATCCTCTCAGATACATGTTGGGACAGGGAACTGGGCAGCCATTGTAAGCCAAACCTCCGAGGTTTTAACGAAATTGCAGTCAGCACACACTGTGGTGGTGATGCTGTGTTGGTGCCAYGTGGCACACAGGCGGGCTCTCCAGCCCATGGGTGGGAATGTGCTGCCAGGCCCGCTCCTCTGGCTGCCCTATCCCCTCAGCATGTGCTGCCATCCGGGTTATGTCAGTGCTGCTCTCTGAGCTCCTCCGATGTCCCCTGCTGAGGAGGCAGCTACGGAGCGAGGGCATCATCCCTCCCCTTGCCCCTCCACAGACACCCCGCTACAGCAGCGCATCTTTCCACAGGATTCTGGCTGTCTCCCTGGAGAGCTGCTGAAATTGTTTTCCAGCAAATGCAGCAGCTGCAGCTGAGGCACATGATGAATTTGCATCATATTTTTTCTTTTTCCTTCCCCTACATTTCAATAGCGGTTCAGCTCAGCCTGCATCATCTGAGACTGGCTTGGAGACACCCATTTGCACTTGGCCCAGGCTCACATCGTGCAGTCAGTAGGTTCACATCCTCTCAGGAACCCGTTTTAAGGTTTTTTTTCACATTCTTTTCAATATACATTCTTCACAGATCAGTTCTTTATAACTGATGATATTTCATTAATAAAAATGCTATTTTATTGGTGTCAATCATTTCATTGTTTGAATGCAGTGCTTAATGATATGCTGACATATTTTGCACTAACAGGGCTACAGTTCTGGAATAAAAATAGACCAGATCACAGAGGAACACTCAAAATGTTGAAGATGAGAAGACCATAAAGTGATGGTTGCTTGGCCAGTTRCTTTAAGCCATCCTAGGTAAGCTTCGTTTTTCTTAACGCTCTGACTCCAAAAGCTACTGCTGTCAGAAAGATCTTTAAACACCAAGTTACTATGGCTGTCCTGGGAAGCYGCTGAGCTTTCCCTTGTCAGAATCTGTGAGTAATTATCAGGGAAAGGCTCCTGATTTTCTGGTCTTGCATTCATCTTCTGCTCCGCACTACTGTGGCAACGACTCAGTCTGCCAGTCTTTTATTTCAATATCAAGCCAAGTCTCCTTCCATTGATGATCCACAGAGCCGGACACRCTCTGGTGGCACCATAAAATATTTCTCAAATGGATTTGCTAAAAGCAAAGAATCCAGTGATTTTTTTTCCCCCAGTAAAGGAAGTTCTCAAAAACCTTGTTACATTCCAGTCAGGTAATTCTGGTAGGATGACGGAGGGAATAAGTATTGACTAGTTGGTCATACGACCTTGGTACCACTCTGTCCCTGAGTACTGCCACGATCTTCTCTGGTTTCAGCTTACATTACCTGGAAAGAACATTCTTCTCTGGGGGATTTTTTCATTATTATTCTGGCGGGAGCTCTTTGCAATGTGCTGATTTATCCCTGAGATTCTGGGCTTCTTGAAAAGTGCTCTTCAGTTCTAATCGTTTCTATTTGCTAGTGTCTGCTTTTTTATGTGGATCTTCTTTTGGTTCTTAGAATATTTTTCATAGCTTTGGGAAATAGCATAAAGAGAAATTTAATAATTTCAACAGGCATCTTTCTATTTTGTTCCCATTCTGCTTGCAGACTGGACAGAGCACTTCTTTTATCTGACTGCAGTGATTATATTAAGGAAAGCAGGAACACCATCCCTTGCTGTGATGTTTTTTGTAGATTTTGTGTGCATTGTAAAGTAAGTGCTGAATAATTTTATTGCTATTTAGCTACTGCTCTATGGAAAAAACATGGATTTCCAGCAGTTACTTAGTTCTCCTTTATGGAGCCATAAGACGGGGATGCAGTTAGGAAAATGATCTGACTAAACAGCATTTTTTGTAATAACTTTCATATCTCAATAATTTGCATTTCTATTTAGTTTTTAAACATTTCACCCAACCTTCCAAGTGTTTTTTTTTTAAATGTTCCTGTAAAATATTCTTGTTTCTTCCTGTTATTGCTAACTGTGCTTGGTTTTGTAATGGTTCATCTGCATATCCTACTTAGGTATTTTGTGTAATGGTTTATCTGCATATCCTACTTACATATTTTGGGAAAGGGAAAGTTTGGGCACATTTGTTTTCCCATATTTTGCATTTTCTCATTATTCCAGAATAAAGTATRTACTCTTAAAGAAATCTACACATGAAATCTCCAGTAAGCCTAGGGTTAAGTGCCATCCAGAAGAGGGWCCTTAAGGAAGTCAGACTCTGAATGGCTCAGAAGTGTGATCGATCCGGGTATTGATTTTCTGCATTTAGCATCCTCCGATGCGCCCATTAGATTAAACTGTTTTTCAAAGTACTAGGGAACTGCCTGTCTGTGGTTCTGCTGTTTGAGGAGGATTACTACTGCTAAATCAGTCATGAACTTTTGTTTGTTCTTTAATGAAGAATGCTGCTTGTGTCTCCAAAAGTTTTGGAGATAATCTGGATGTTTCTTGAAGGTCCCTCTGAAAGGATACGCTGGTTAAAATTGATATAAAATGTCCCAGTATGAATTTATCATGATTGTAAGAGGCTGAAAGCCATTTTGGCATAAAGCCACTGACTTTAACCCCCAGGCTGAGCATGCTAGGTCCCATCCTTGCTGCCCTTATTCAGAAATGCCCGACTGCTTGTAGCAGCCCAACATACACTATATTATCCCACGCGTCGTCTCATCCGGAGAGCTGGTGCAGTTTAGAGAACAAAATGATGCAGTTATCATATATACCCACAGCTGGCAAAATGCTGACTTCCAGTGGTGCTGACTTTACTGTCTACAACAAAGATAATGCATTTATGTTGATAATAAAGAGCTGAACCTACATTTAAGACTAGGTATTACTTTGCATTTTCATATGCTACTGCAGTTTCCGATCCTTGTGGGAAATGATGCTGGAAGTCCCAGAAGTCGCCTTGAAATAAAATGTAAGATGAGCAAGATGTAAGAAGTTTTCTCTCTGGAATGAGTGGTCTCCTTTTGTATTCAGAGTTGGCTTCTGCTTTATCATCTGTGTAAATTGTSTGAGTTAACGTAATGGGTGAGGATGCCAAAGAAATGCAATAACATTAATGCTTTGAGTTTAGTCCTGAGCCACTGAATTTTATAGCAACCAGATTAGCTATTGTGATTCAAAATGTGCAGAGAAGTACCAATAGAGGACAACCAGCACAGTTTATGGATGTATCAGCAACTCCCAGCACACTCAGAGATGCCCCTACAGAGTWCAAAGTGCTTCCTCTAATGCCCATATTATAAGCCATTGCCTGTGTCAGAAGAGTAGTAGAGGACAGTGATGTACACAGATGTATAGCCTTAAGTCAAGAAAGCACTTAAGCATGTCAATAAGTCCACTTGTAATCAGGTAAGCACTTAATTCCATAYTTAATGTGCCCCAGCACATTGCCACGTATAAATATACAATTGCTACTTAGCACAAAAGCAATATAAAAATTTATACAGATTCATGCACATGGAAAAAAATGTAAGGATGAAAACCCACCATATTCTGGGACCTGGCCTGTTCCACGTTTCAACAACAGCCGCACTCTCCTGCCACCAGACTTGATTAGCTCTATTGCTCTGGCATGTGTCATGTCCCTTGTGCTTTCTCCATTGATTTCAATAATTTGATCTCCTACCTGTCAGGTAAGAAGAATATTGAGTCAGATAGAATTGCAGTAAAATGATTGTTTCACAAAGAGACACAGTCAATGGATCACAGGTGACTTGAATGACAGACAGACACATCAAGGTAAATTTGTTCCTGTCTGTCTGAGGGATATTACTGGCAGATTAAATAACCTCCAAAATGGATTCTGAGCATGGTACATCAAAAGCTGCTCTTCTGCAAAATCAGTGTAATGCATTTGTAACTTGTCTCATGCCTTTGGAATTGCTTGATATGTTGGAATCACTTGAAAGCCATTATTTGTGGTACGGTCTAGCTTACAGCATTGCATAGGCCTGGAAAGACTGCATTGGATTTGCTCTTTTCATATGAAAAATAGAAGTTAATAATACAACCACCCAGCTTCATCACTTCAGTACCCAAATCTTGGTAGCAACCAACTTAAGCGCTATTATGAGGAAAAGTTTTAACCAAAGGGAGGTTAGTAGCTATGATGGCCACTGCACAGATTGAACAGATTTGTTAACAGTTCTCATGAGACCATGTTCCGAGCTCCATATCCATTCACGTTTCCTGCTCCAAGCAAGCACAGCCCGAGGCTGAGGCACCCAGGCAGATGAACGATCTCCAGAGCTCTCATTAGAGGCTCCTGCCACTGGTCTCCCAGTTGGCTGCCCAGTCAGTCGGAGTCATTATTTTTCTACCTCTATTTCTACAGCTGTAAACTAGGGCATTGACGTCTGTATCTGCCTTCTGCTCTTCCTCCCACTTTGCCTCCCACTGTGCTGGTTCAGCTCAGTTCATCTATTGCCTTTCTCTTAGTGAGAAGTAGCTGTAGCTGCTGTAGATACTAGAAGCCTGCTCAATGAAGAGGGCAGTCATTGCTTCTCACTGGGACGTGGCAGAGAGAACACGCAGGAAGCAACAGCCGCACGGCTCGTTTGATACCACTACCACCCACTTGATTGGCAAAAGAGCTAAATCTGCCACACAGTGCAGTAACGTGTGAGCACTGAACTAGCAGTACAAGAGCCTCCAGAGCTAAGGATTGGGCAGCTGCACTGGAGAAGCCTCCAAGGCAGGTGCCTCAAGGGAGAACCTCAGTGGGACCCCAGAGCCAAGGCTGATTTCCCAGAGTTGCATGAGGCGGCACAAGGAGCCCATCGGGAAGCACAAGGAGCCCATTGGGGAGCACAAGAAGCCACTGGGAAGCACAAGGAGCCCATTGGGGAGCACAAGGAGCCCATTGGGGAGCACGAGGAGCCCATCAGAACAGGCTCGGGGAGCACATTTGTCCGTGTCAGAAAAGCACATCTGCTCAGCAGGATCACACCAGGCTTGGCCTGCATCTACGGGGCTATTTCACAGTGGGAGGGATTGTGCATAACCCACACCTTAACATTACACTACTGCATTCATAAAGATCTCATGAGGATGGGCACTTCCTTTACACCCTGCAAGCCTGACCTGACAAAACCAGCTCTTTGCTAGCCTTGGACACTGAAATGTTTTCTGTTTTAACTACTGCACTTCTGTCAACTAGAAGTGTAACCCTTCAGAGGGTTTCCTTCCTTTCTGAGTCTGAAATACAGTGTTTACCAAATAAGTGTACATAATATGAAGTGTCAACAAGACTCATAGCATCAAAGAACACTGGAAGTGATGTCAAGAAGTCATCTAGTCCCTACTCTTGCTCAGAGACAGGAAGAATGCTGCTAAAAGCATTATAGGTAGCGTTTTTCAATAGGAATTCATACCTTGTCAATAGGAGTTGCAGGCTATTTTCTGAGCTCTCTCAGGATACTAAAAGCAATTTATTCCAGGACTTTACTTAACTAAAAAGCCATTGATCTGAATAAAACCTCTCAGCCCGGCTATCATTCTTTATAAATGCTGCACGCTGAACAGTGGAGAAAACAAACCAAACCAAAACAAAAAAGAAGTGATTATTCTGAGGAGAAAAGCCACACTTCTGCAATGCGGATTTCTTTCTGTGAGGATTTTCTCTGCTGAGAGAAATGCATTTATTTATCCTGTGCCACGCAGGATGCACTTTTAGACACAAATATGCAGTTCTAGACATTAATAATGACCTCTATGCCACACTGGAAGGCCTCTCAGATGCTCTCTGGCTAAGCAAACCTCTCCCTGGGCTTGGTTGGATGGGGTTATTCCTGACGGCTCAGGCCCTGGAGACATTGGCAGGATGTGATCTCTGCAAACCCCAGGGGCCAAACAAGAAATGCTCTCTATCACTTCTGCCACACAAAGACAGAAGATRGATTTACAGCACCTTCCCACAAGACTGCTACTAAGACAAAACACAGAACAGACTCAGCCTATCTGAAAAAAATCTGCTTCCAAATGTCATGAAGTAATTAAATCCTAGTAGGATAGTTTCATTGTAATTTTCCAGGCCAGGCTAAGCACAGAGGAAAGTATACTCAAAAATTCCAGTCTTACACATTCCTCCTTTTTTTGTGCCATGCTGTCTGGATACCTCATGTTTTGCACAAGGTATATAAAATGATCTTGTTAGCATGTTCTGAGAGAAGATATGCCAGATTAAATCAAATGAAGGTGTTTTTAACACTCCTTGATAAATAGCCTTTAAAACAAGTCCTGATGAAAGCTGTTCAGAGCACACACAGTCCATCTACCAAAATCTTCTGCACTTTCAAATAGAAAGACAGAAATTTTAATACAGTTTAATATGTAAAAAGGTTAAGTTAATGTCACAGCTTTTCCTCATGTCTGCTTTTCTTCTGTTCTTAGTAGTCATTACACAGCAACTATCTTGTATTAAAATAACCTTTTCGGTATCTCAGTGGATTAAAATATCTTTTTTTCCTCTATGGGCAGCATGTAGCTGTTGATAGTTTCTAATACAAAATTCCATTTGCAAATAACCTTGGAAAATGAAAAAAAAGCCAGGTGTCTTGGCTATGTGAGTTAACTGATTTCTAGGCATTTGTGTCTTGCTGGCTGATGTATAACTGAATTAGATGGCATTTGCAGCACAGGCTCAGTTCTGATTAGATAAAAAAAAAGAAGCAACAAGGAAGATAAATGTTATAAGCACTCTTACCTTGGTAGAAGCATCAATTAGGATTTGCACTCTTATATCTGGGGAATTCATGCAAAAGTGAAAGCTTGACCAAGGAGTGGTTTCCCATGTGTCTAACAAGGTATGATCCCCTATTTTTGCTTTCTTTGCAGTTAAGCATTTCTAATCTCCCTTTCCTCTCACCAAGTGGATTCTCTGATGTTTAGGATCGGATGAAATCGGGCTAGGTCCCTTCCCTAGGTGCAGGCATTAAAATGCTCTCTCACATACTCCAGCTCTGTCTGTCTCTTTTCTCAGCTGAATATTTTTACAAAGCATCAGGCCTGTCACAAATCAGAACTTTGAAACCCTAGACCTTCCTTCATATTTATTTAGAAGACAGGTCTCTCACACACCTCTGCTCACACCACTAGTGTAGGTCATTCACTGGGAAGGGAGGGTATTTCTGTCTTTCTTTACTCCTGCGGTTGTTTAAGAATTAGAGATTGGGTATGGCCACATACACCTGATAAGGCCAGAAGTAAGGACAAAGTATGTATAGAAACAGGCCTTGAAAACACCCAATTCCTCCCAGCAAGGCAGAAGCAATAATGTATGGATCATCTGTGAAAAAAATCCTTGTTCAACATCCATTGAAAGGGATTCCTTAGGCTCCTCAGATCTGTTTAATTTCATAGCCGTACTCTATTCTTTTCTGCTGTAAATTGTGATGGAATCACGGAATGGTTGAGGTTGGCAGGGACCTCTTGAGAACCTCTTGTCCAACAAGCAGGGCACCTACAGTAGGTTGCTCAGGGCTGTCTCCTGTTGGCTTTTGAGTATCTCTGCCCCAAAGTAGCACAGGGCCCTTCACTGGCTAGATATTGTCATGGTGATTGCTTTGATATTTAGATAATTTTGAAATCTAATCCAGTTCCTTCAAGTGCATTTGGACATTCTGTGAAAAGTAGCACCTTGCTGTTAACCATTTTTTCCTGTTATTTATCTATAAGTGTTTAGTTAATAATGAAATTATTGAATTCAACTGGTTTCATCACAGCTGTCTCTGAATCACCCTTGTAATTTCACACTTGTAATTCCAGTTCAAGCAAGCCTCTCAGAGCACTCTTTGAGAAGGATTATTTTCAGTAACCACTTTACTATAACCTATCTTCTTGTGAATTTAATGCAAGACAGTCTTGAAAGTTAAAAAGGAAGTGGTTTGTACCTCTTTCGCCTGTTTCTACTAGGAAATAAAAAGAAAAAATAGAAATAAAAGAAAATTAGGCTGATATGACAAGTTTTATTTTTCCATAACCTCTGTGTTGGTGGATCTTTTTGATAACAACTAACAGTTTATTTTTGAGGATAAAAGTTAAATGAACGTCTTTGTTTTATTCTGTTTTGAAAATAGGGGACATGTTTTCCTTTCTGTAGTCTACTACCAACTTTCTTGTACACCAAGATTTTTTGGAGATAATTACTAGTAGTCTAGAAATTACTTTTATCAAGTCACTGAGCATACAGGAACACTAGCAGTCCAGCTGACTTGAATCTCAATATTTTTGACTAAGTTTTATTCTGAGATAGGCTCACTTCCTTTGGTTGAACTGATATAGTAACTATACATTTTTTCCTGATGTTTCTTTTATGAAAGTCGATACAATGAACATTGATTATTTCAGCTTTCTCAGTGCTCTCAGTAAAGCGACAGACCTACACTTTTCTTTCTCTGTAATTTAATGTATTTGTTACCTTTTTTTCTTGCTTTTTCTGTTTTCCTTGCACACTGCTCAGATATTACCCTGACACATTTAATCCATTATTTCTAAGACACAAGCTGCCTTATGTGATGATACAAAGCTTTTCGCATGAAACACTAGACTATTTTAAAAGATAAACTTTAATGTAGCAACATGGTCATTTTGCACGGTATTTAGTTTCTCTATCATTTTACACTTCAT